TATAACATAAACAAACCTTTGTATCAAAATCATTACTAGTTTTTTTAACATGTGCTACATTAGTTGACTAATGCAATGTGTCCGGCTATCTCTGCATCCAATTCTGAATTTTCTTCCTTGTATCATAAATTAAACTAAAAAATCACTTGAATAAAAAAAAAAATTATTACAAGTTTTCCTGACATGTGCTACACAAGTTAACTAAGGCAATGTGCCCCTCTTAGCAGTCAAGTTTGAATTTTCTTCTTTATAACTCAAATTAGATTAAAATCATGTAAATAAGATCATCATTGGAGAGACTTTTTCATATGATCGAAATATGAATCAATACACCATTTACATTATATCACATAGTGTACCACTTTGTGTTATGACGTACACATAAAAAATTTCACTTTGTGTTATGTGCGATATTTTGTGGATCCTCTTAAAGCATGCATCGACATGTGCAAACTGCGTGAACAAATATTAATTACAGTAATTGGACTGTAAATGTCTGCCGACATCAGAAATCATTAGAGGATGGTTTGGGATAGACAGTTGAGGAACCGGATAAATTTAATCTTAGACAAATATTCTGCCCTTTCTTAATATTGCTATATTAATGGTCCAATAGATCATCCCTCATTCCTACTATGATGCATCATCTTTTACGTTGAGACCAGATCATCTTCTTTTGTGCAATTCCCGAAGAATCATGGGAAATTATATTTTTACATTTTTCTCTTTTTTGTGCATCTTTATTTTTAATTTATTCTATTTCAAATTCTAAAAATCATTAATAGACAAAAAGTGTTAATGGAGGGGTGCGAAATCAATTTTGAACAATTTCCATTTGATATTTACTATAAGCACACAACTAAACCAAATAAACATTAACTAATTAATCAACTAGAAAATGTAATACATATAATATTTAAATTATGGGGATTTTAAAAAACATAATTTGAGACGTATTATATTTTATACTTCACTAATTTACTCTAAAATATATTCTGCTAAAATAATTGGTTTGTTCGTGTCATGTTAGCAATAATTAAAATTGAGCAACGTTAATTAAGAGACATTTTAATGAATAAGCTAAAACAAAACTTGGTGGATCATCATTGGTGACCCAGTCTAACCCAATTTGTTAGTTCACTAGGCTGACTCAACTCTATTAACTGGGCGTCAAGCACAATTTTTAAGCCCAATCATGTCTGCTCTTAATCCTTACAGATAATTAATTATGCCCAGAAGTTTGAATTGATTGTAATCTTCTGTATAAATTTCCTCATATGCCAAGTTTGAATTGATTGTAATATTCTGTATAAATTTCCTCATATGCCAGTAATGTTTTTCTTGGATATTATCAGGGAGGCTTCCTGCAAATGTCAAAATGTCTGGAGATGTTGTACTGAATGGGAACAAAAGAAGCAGAAACTGCACAGATATTGTAAGTGTAACTTAGGACATCCTTCAAATGAACATATGACCCGCAAGTTTTGTTCTCATAATTATATGAATTAAAGACCCAAATAATGTGTGTTAATTTTTGTATGCCTGCAATATTTCAGTCATATGTAACTCAAGAGGACTTTTTCTTGGGATCACTCACAGTCAGAGAAACTCTAACATATTCAGCTCATATAAGGCTCCCTTGTAAAATGACCAAAGAGGAGAAGAATGAGGTGGTAGAAAACACTATCACAAAAATGGGGCTTCAAGATATCGCTGGAAGTAACATCGGAAACTGGCACTTGAGAGGCATAAGTAAGGGAGAAAAGAGGAGACTCAGCATATGTATTGAAGTACTTACACAACCTCATGTGTTGCTGCTTGATGAACCCACCAGCGGCCTCGACAGTGCTTCCTCTTTCTTTGTGATATGGACACTTAGAAACATTGCTCGTGATGGAAGAATAGTCATTTGCTCCATTCACCAACCTAGTATCGATGTCTTCAATCTCTTCGACGACCTGCTCCTCTTAGCAGGAGGTGAAACTGTTTATTTTGGAGAAGCAAAGATTGCTGTAAAGGTAAATTTCATTGTTCTAAAAATTCCCGCCTAAGCGCAACGCAGATGATCACTGCCCCGATTAATGCTTAGACGTTTGAAAATTAAGAAAGAGCGCCTAAACCAACTGAGGCACCCACCTAGACCGCCTAGGCACCCGCCTAGCCTGCCCAGACCCGCCTAGCCACCCGCCTAGGTTGCGACTCACTTAGACAGAAAATAGATAACTTTTATTTTGCATTTTTTTTCTCAATAAATTGTAAGAGACTTGTTGAATACTTAAATGAATACATATTACATGCATGTTCTTCCAATATCTCATAATATATATGTCATTCTATTTTGTAGTTTATAATGAAATTATATATATTTTAAGTATAAAAAAATACTTGTTTACACGAAATATAATAGATCTACTTAAATCCGCCTAGTCTGCCTAGGCACCCCACTAGCGCCTAACATCTTTTAGAATCTTGGTAAATTTATTGATTACATTGGAGAAGCAAAATATATGGCCGTATTCTGAACCCTGTATTTCCTTTGTAAGATATTGATCGACATGTACACTAATACATTCCCGGCCTTAGAATGATTGCTAGCTAATGGTTTTACATTCTTATACTTCAGTTCTTCGCTGATGCCGGATTTCCTTGCCCAACACGAAAAAATCCTCCAGACCACTTCCTTCGATGCATTAGTTCAGACTTTGACAAAGTTCTAGCAGCTCTTTTGCTATCTCAAAGGATTAATTATGTATGTGCACCCTTTTCTTTCTTTTTCTATAAAAAGGTTTAATTTTTCGTAAGTTAAAATGCTTTTGTTATTTTCTTGGCAGGCATCTACAGATTCTTTCATTTCCCAAAACAACTTGACAACAGATGAGATCAAAGGAAAGCTAATCAATGCGTACCAGTCGTCCGCATTATCAACAGATGCAAGAAAAAAGATCCGAGAAATCTTGCTCACTGTATGCAGTACTTAATTGAAACTAAATAGAAGAACGGCATACCTGTTAAGCAGAATATGTGGAAGTTAATTACTGAAAGACTGTAGGAACGTGCATTTCGTCTTTTATATTACTACTCATATATACTAGTTCCTGACCATGTCTAACCACTCCTAACATCGCAGGAAAAACCGGCAGGAAAATCAAACAAGGGAAGTAGTGCCATCTGGGGGAAGCTGCTATGTACATTGATCAGTCGATCTTCAATAAACATGTCTAGAGATATTGGGTACTATTGGTTAAGAAGTGTGTTCTACATACTAATTGCAGTGAGTGCTGGCTCTTTCTTTTTCCACATTGGAACGAACAATCAAGCAATGATTGCAAGAGGAAAGTGTGATGGTTTCATTTATGGCTTAATGATCTGCTTGTCTATTGGAGGCATACCCTTCGTTATTGAAGAACTTAAGGTAGACTGATGAATTCTTATAGAAATAATGTTAATTATGCAATATTCTTTTACAGGACGAGATATATCTTATGTTGTTAAACTATGAATCTGGAACAGTAATAACGTGATCAATTCTACTCTGTGACAACATAAGTCTAATAGAGAACTTTAGCCAATAAAATTTAATCCCGTCTTTTTAAAATCCCATGCAGGTATTTAGGCGGGAAAGACTTGGCGGGCATTATGGGGAAGCTTTGTTTGTGCTCTCCAACTTCCTCTCCTCACTCCCTTTCGTGGTTGGCATGGCTTTCTCTTCTGGAACAATACTATACCACATGGTCAAATTTCACTCAGGATTCTCTCATTACTTGTATTTTTGCATCAATCTCTTCTGCTGCATTGCTGTCACAGAAGGAGCCGCTTTAATTGCGGCAGCACTGGTTCCCAACCTCTTGATGGCCGTAGGAGCTGCAGCCGGCATAACAGTAAGCCATACCTCGATTCATTTCTCCCAATCAAAATCATAACAATTTGGATAATGCTAGAGAAATTAATTTTTCCGTCAAGTAATGCTAGAGACATCAATTATTTTCTAATATTTTTTGTACACATAGGTATTCATGATGATGCCATCTCTTCTTTTCCGGAGGATGGTTGACCTACCAAAAATCTTTTGGCGATATCCCATGTCATACCTCAGCTATGCAGCATGGTCAATACAGGTACGAAGTAATAAATATTTCTGAGATGCTATGGTCAGTAGTGCACATGAATGATTCCTGATTGTTCATGCGTGTAATTAACAATCAGAAATTGCTCACGCATGCATAAGTGACTTACCTTAGTAAAATCTAAATCCTTTCCAAACGCATCTCAATTACAGGGTCAGTACAAGAATGACATGATTGGGCTGGAATTTGACCCTCTAGTGGTTGGAGATCCAAAGCTGAAGGGTGAGGATGTACTCCTTCACTTGTATGGGATAAACCCTGAGGTTTCCAAATGGTGGGATTTGGCTGCTTTGGCATGCTTGTTACTTTGTGTCAAAGTCATCTTTTACTTGTTGCTCAAGTACAAGGAGAGAGCCTCATTGTCTATACACAAACTCTTTGCAAAAGCAACCTTCCAACACCATCCCAAGAGAGGCTCATTGAAGAAGGAGCAATTTGTCTCCTATTCCAAGAGACACACAACTCTTCATCCATTATCTTCTCAAGAGGGTCTTGGATCACCACTTCCATAGTGTGATTGACATCTTTTTCTTTCGGCTAGTGGTTTCACATTGCCGTTTTCTCATTCACTCATTCTCTTGTTCTAGTCTCTTGATTCTTAATCGATTTATCCAGCTTGAGGTTCCAAACAATAAAGAAAGGTGAGGTGAGTATGAGGAGACAACAGTGAGAATCACTTCACTTTTTTTTTGTTCGCTTTTTGTTAACTCTCTTTGTATAAGAATAAGGGTGAACAAATTAAATGAAGGTTTATTAATTTCTCCTTGTGAACTATAAGAAAAGAAATATTAGCCAAAAGAGCAATTTCGCATTGAAAAATTGAAAGATGGGACTTGTCAGTTCATACTTCGTAATGTAAAAGATGCTAAACCCCACTTAAGATTACAATGGATGGAAATACAAGATCGGAAAATAAAATTCCGTAACGATGCATTGACAACTCTGCATGTATGGTAATCTACAATATAGTTGATCAATACAAGCTACAATATTGTGTAAAATGAAGGCCTTACTCAACTAGCCTGTTTGGGAAGAACAAAATTGAACCACAAAATGAGGACATCAGGCAAACTAGAATCTTTAACCTTCTCATCTACAAACAAGCATCGAACAATTAGGGTCACGAACAACCAGAAACCATGTAGATGCAAGTTATATGTGGCAACATGAATATTGAGAAAGGACTGAACACAAGCTGTCACCTAGCACAGGTCACGGTCATGCCTTTCCTCTAAACAGAAATTCTCAATTTCAAATGTTCCAAATCTCGGGATTAAAGCGAAATCAAAGAAGATAGGCATATAAAACACTTCATACCTCAGACAACCGAAAAAGCACCAAAGGAAATAAGAAATCAGTTTATGCAAGCTATAAGAAAATTAAAGCAATGGTAGGTAGCAAGAACTCCATGGCCTAAACAAGAAGACCATACAACAATATGCATGCATGAACAAAATTTTTGACCAACCTGATCATTTTCTTATTTTTGAAGAACTGAACACATGGTGTACCCATAATTCCAGCTGCTTCTGCTACTTCCGGATCTTCCTCAATCTCAATTTCAACAAAATGTACATTATGGTCGAATTCATCTATCACCTGACATAAGACAAAGTAAAGCACATCCTCGATTAGTGAAATATTTGGTGAATCAATGATAGACATGCTGTCACTGAAAAATGTTAAAAGGCAGACAAACTTCTCTTTCCCAAGTGAACGTGCACCACCAAGAACTGAACCACAGAACTTACCGTACCAAGAATTGGCTTCAAAGTCCTACATGGGCCACATGTTGGTGCTGTATATAATACACATATAAGCCTTGGACTTTCACAACAACAACAACAACAACAAAGCCTTTTCCCACTAAGTGGGGTCGGCTATATGAATCCTAGAACGCCATTGCGCTCGGTTTTGTGTCATGTCCTCCGTTAGATCCAAGTACTCTAAGTCTTTTCTTAGAGTCTCTTCCAAAGTTTTCCTAGGTCTTCCTCTACCCCTTTGGCCCTGAACCTCTGTCCCGTAGTCACATCTTCGAACCGGAGCGTCAGTCGGCCTTCTTTGCACATGTCCAAATCATCGGAGCCGATTTTCTCTCATATTTCCTACAATTTCGGCTACTCCTACTTTACCTCGGATATCCTCATTCCCAATCTTATCCATTCTCGTGTGCCCACACATCCCACGAAGCATCCTCATCTCCGCTACACCCATTTTGTGTACGTGTTGATGCTTCACCGCCCAACATTCTGTGCCATACAACATCGCTGGCCTTATTGCCGTCCTATAAAATTTTCCCTTGAGCTTCAGTGGCCTACGACGGTCACACAACACGCCGGATGCACTCTTACACTTCATCCATCCAGCTCGTATTCTATGGTTGAGATCTCCATCTAATTCTCCGTTCTCTTGCAAGATAGATCCTAGGTAGCGAAAACGGTCGCTTTTTGTGATCTTCGCTAGATTGCTCCGGTCATTAGTGTGGATAAGTATATAAATGGATAGAGATAGGAAAGCAAACACAAGATGTACGTGGTTCACCCAGATTGGCTACGTCCACGGAATAGAAGAGTTCTCATTAATTGTGAAGGGTTTACACAAGTACATAGGTTCAAGCTCTCCTTTAGTGAGTACAAGTGAATGATTTAGTACAAATGACATTAGGAAATATTGTGGGAGAATGATCTCGTAATCACGAAACTTCTAAGTATCGGAGTGTGGTGTCGTCTTGACTTGCCTTATCTGTCTCATAGGTAGATGTGGCATCTTCTCTGGAAGTACTCTTCCTCCATCCAGGGGTGGTATCTTTAACTGGTGGAGATGCACAAGGTAATGTATCAATTTCACTTGAAGCTTACTTGTAGTTTCAGGCTTGGTCAAGCGCGATACAAACCATGTAGTAGGAGTCCCCCAAGTCGCCGAGCTAGGGGGTCTGCTGAAAGAGGTGACAGACAAGGTAAGCAATCAGAGCTCCGACTGATTGTTCACCTTCTCCCCATCTTGCAGCAGCATGAAGGATAAAGAGAAGAAAAATGAGAAGAGATGATATGAGATACTTTTGCTTTTGAAGAAGTAACTTTCCACAGGCTTATTCTTGAACTGAGCTGGAGGGTTTTCTGGTTTCCTCCAGAGTATAAGGCCGACTGAAGAATTTGAGGGTCAAAACAAGTCCATCAAATCTAGAGTACGTTCCACCCTGCTGATATGGGATACTTTTGCTTTTGACAGAGTAATGGATGTATCGGCACGTGTGCTGTTACGCTTGTCTCCACATGCTTCCTTGTATCCTTCGCACTTGCCCTATCTGTTCCTCAAGCAGATGCGGAATCTTCCCTGGAAACATAAGATGTTGAAGATGAGTACTCGAGAGCAATGCCAGGTAAGTAATCAGGTAAGGGGTTCCAGGCAGTCAGTTCCTGGCTGGAAGCTTGATTCCAAGTGCTGACTGATTGCTCTCTTTCTCCTTGTCTTGCAGGTAAAAACAAGGCCAAAGGAAAAGACAGGGAAAAAAGCATGATATGGGATACTCTTGCTTTTAACCCTGATGATATGAGATATTCTTGCTCTAGTATAGCTTGTTTGCAGAGGTATTATCGGGGGGAAAGAAAGCTGAATATTTCGAAAGGCTTCGTTGGGAGTGCCCTCTCAGATATGATGAAGGGTTGAGCATTTTTGCAGGTCTGCCTGTCCGTTGGGGATGGAGGTCGACATATATAGGAGTCTCCCTAACAACAAGTAGTAATGCTATTCCTTTACCCTGCTTGGTCATAGCACGGTAGTGGGAGCTGCCAGTTTCACATGTTTTAACTCTGTCAGAGCACTTTGAAAAAGTGGTCTGTGGTATCTGGCTCTCGAGATTCGGAGAACGATGCCTCTTCGATTTTTGAGAAAGCAATCATGCTGGGGGTCTGGCTCTCGAGATTCGGAGAGCAGTGTCTCTTCGATTTTTGAGGAAGTAATCATGTTGGGAGTCTGGCTCTCGAGATTCGGAGGGCGGTGCCTCTTCGATTTTGGAGCAAGCAATCTTGTTGGGAGTGTTGTCTCGAATGTGAGTAAAGGTTGGGCATGTTTGCTAGTCTACCTTGCCACGAAGCACAAAGGTTGACACACAGGGACTTTCCAATTATCCAGCAATGGTACTGTTCCTTTACCCTCTCTTCGATTTTGAGAAAGTAGTCATGTTGGGAGTCTGGCTCTCGAGATTCGGAGGACGGTGCCTCTTCGATTTTGGAGCAAGCAATCTTGTTGGGAGTGTTTTCTCGAATGTGAGTAAAGGTTGGGCATGTTTGCTAGTCTACCTTGCCACGAAGCACAGAGGTTGACACACAGGGACTTTCCAATTATCCAGCAGTGGTACTGTTCCTTTACCCTTGTGGGTAATAATATGGTAGCTAGACCTTCAAAATTTATGTGTCTAAACTTTGTTAGTGCTGTTTCTTTGCTATTCTTTTACCTTTCTTGGTCAGAGCGATGTAGTGGGAGCTGCAAGCTTCACGTGCTCAACTTTGGCAGAGAACTTTGGCAAAGTTATCTGTGGTACCCATGAGCTATTGTTGCGTGTGGGAAGTGGGTGATTGAACAGTAAGATTCATGTGCTTTCTACTTCACCAGAAGTCTTCGACAGAATGCCCATAATTTCTGCAAAGCTGAGTGTGCGTGTGACAGGTGCTGACAAGGCTAGAAAAGTAGGTGCCTCTTCGATTTCTGAGATCGGCCCTCGTGGTCTCTGAGCAGCCCAGCTTTTGAGAAAGCGAGCGCCTCTTCGATTGATTCGGAGAACGATGCCTCATCGATTTTTGAGAAAGCAATCATGCTGGGGGTCTGGCTCTCGAAGATTCGGGGAGCAGTGTCTCTTCGATTTTTGAGAAAGTAATCATGTTGGGAGTCTGGCTCTCGAGATTCGGAGGGCGGTGCCTCTTCGATTTTGGAGCAAGCAATCTTGTTGGGAGTGTTTTCTCGAATGTGAGTAAAGGTTGGGCATGTTTGCTAGTCTACCTTGCCACGAAGCACAGAGGTTGACACACAGGGACTTTCCAATTATCCAGCAATGGTACTGTTCCTTTACCCTCTCTTCGATTTTTAAGAAAGTAGTCATGTTGGGAGTCTGGCTCTCGAGATTCGGAGGACGGTGCCTCTTCGATTTTGGAGCAAGCAATCTTATTGGGAGTGTTTTCTCGAATGTGAGTAAAGGTTGGGCATGTTTGCTAGTCTACCTTGCCACGAAGCACAGAGGTTGACACACAGGGACTTTCCAATTATCCAGCAGTGGTACTGTTCCTTTACCCTTGTGGGTAATAATATGGTAGCTAGACCTTCAAAATTTATGGGTCTAAACTTTGTTAGTGCTGTTTCTTTGCTATTCTTTTACCCTTCTTGGTCAGAGCGATGTAGTGGGAGCTGCAAGCTTCACGTGCTCAACTTTGGCAGAGAACTTTGGCAAAGTTATCTGTGGTACCCATGAGCTATTGTTGCGTGTGGGAAGTGGGTGATTGAACAGTAAGATTCATGTGTTTTCTACTTCCCCAGAAGTCTTCGACAGAATGCCCATAATTTCCGCAAAGCTGAGTGTGCGTGTGACAGGTGCTGACAAGGCTGGAAAAGTAGGTGCCTCTTCGATTTCTGAGATCGGCCCTCGTGGTCTCTGGGGAGCCCAGCTTTTGAGAAAGCGAGCGCCTCTTCGATTTCTGAGATCGGCCTTCGTGGTCTTTGAGCAGCCCAACTTTTGAGAAAGCAAACGCCTCTTCGATTTCTGAGATCAACCCTCGTGATCTCTAAGCAGCCCAGCTTTTGAGAAAGCAAACGCCTCTTCGATTTCTGAGCAGGCGCCTCTTCGATTTCTGAAGCTCCGTCGAGTGCAGATTTTTATAGGGGCTGGCATTAAGTTCCAAAGCACACTTGAATCTCCACCAGTAGAAGCTTCATTCTTGCACTTCTAAGATCTTGATTTGTCCGACCTCTTCTCTCTTCAACACCTTTGAAAATGTCTGGCCCCTCCGACCGTCGTTTTGACTTGAACCTTGTTGAAGAGGCAGCCCCGCCTTCTCCAGACAACATATGGCGCCCATCCTTCGTCTCCCCTACTGGTCCTCTTACCGTTGGGGATTCCGTGATGAAGAATGATATGACCGCTGCGGTGGTGGCCAGGAACCTTCTCACTCCCAAAGATAACAGACTACTTTCCAAACGGTCTGATGAGTTAGCTGTTAAGGATTCGCTGGCTCTCAGTGTTCAGTGTGCAGGTTCTGTGTCTAATATGGCCCAACGCCTATTTGCTCGAACCCGCCAAGTTGAATCATTGGCGGCTGAAGTGATGAGTCTCAAACAGGAGATTAGAGGGCTCAAGCATGAGAATAAACAGTTGCACCGGCTCGCACATGACTATGCTACAAACATGAAGAGGAAGCTTGACCAGATGAAGGAAACTGATGGTCAGGTTTTACTTGATCATCAGAGATTTGTGGGTTTGTTCCAAAGGCATTTATTGCCTTCGTCTTCTGGGGCTGTACCGCGTAATGAAGCTCCAAATGATCAACCTCTGATGCCTCCTCCTTCTAGGGTTCTGTCCAGTACTGAGGCTCCAAATGATCCCCCTCCGGTGCCTTCTCTTTCTGGGGCTCTACCGACTGCTGAGACTTCTCCTAAGCAACCTTTGTGAAGGCTCCCTCTTGTGTGTTTATTTTGACTCATGTATATGTACATATTTGTAGCTTATCGGGGATATCAATAAATAAGCTTTCCTTCATTTCAACGTATTGTGTTAAATACACCAAAGCCTTCTTCGCTAAGTTCTTTGAATTTTCTTTTGTTGAAGCTTGTATGTTGAAGCTTTCTGAGTGGAGCATGTAGGTTGGGGTAGTGTTCCCTTAATTTTCCCGAGTGAGGAAAACTTCTCGGTTGGAGACTTGGAAAATCCAAGTCACTGAGTGGGATCGGCTATATGAATCTTAGAACGCCATTGTGCTCGATCCTGTGTCATGTCCTTCGTTAGATCCAAGTACTCTAAGTCTTTTCTTAGAGTCTCTTCCAAAGTTTTCCTAGGTCTTCCTCTACCCCTTCGGCCCTGAACCTCTGTCCCATAGTCGCATCTTCTAATCGGAGCGTCAGTAGGCCTTCTTTGCACATGTCCAAACCACCGTAACCGATTTTCTCTCATCTTTCCTTCAATTTCGGCTACTCCTACTTTACCCCGGATATCCTCATTCCTAATCTTATCCTTTCTCGTGTGCCCACACATCCAACGAAGCATCCTCATCTCCGCTACACCCATTTTGTGTACGTGTTGATGTTTCACCGCCCAACATTCTGTGCCATACAGCATCGCCGGCCTTATTGCCGTCCTATAAAATTTTCCCTTGAGCTTCAGTGGCATACGGCGGTCACACAACACGCCGGATGCACTCTTCCACTTCATCCATCCAGCTTGTATTCTATGGTTGAGATCTCCATCTAATTCTCCGTTCTTTTGCAAGATAGATCCTAGGTAACGAAAACGGTCGCTCTTTGGTATTTCTTGATCTCCGATCCTCACCCCTAACTCGTTTTGGCCTCCATTTGCACTGAACTTGCACTCCATATATTCTGTCTTTGATCGGCTTAGGCGAAGACCTTTAGATTCCAACACTTCTCTCCAAAGGTTAAGCTTTGCATTTACCCCTTCCTGAGTTTCATCTATCAACACTATATCGTCTGCGAAAAGCATACACCAAGGAATATCATCTTGAATATGTCCTGTTAACTCATCCATTACCAACGCAAAAAGGTAAGGACTTAAGGATGAGCCTTGATGTAATCCTACAGTTATGGGAAAGCTTTCGGTTTGTCCTTCATGAGTTCTTACGGCAGTCTTTGCTCCTTCATACATATCCTTTATAGCTTGGATATATGCTACTCGTACTCCTTTCTTCTCTAAAATCCTCCAAAGAATGTCTCTTGGGACCCTATCATACGCTTTTTCCAAATCTATAAAGACCATGTGTAAATCCTTTTTCCCATCTCTATATCTTTCCATCAATCTTCGTAAGAGATAGATTGCCTCCATGGTTGAGCGCCCTGGCATGAACCCGAATTGGTTGTCCGAAACCCGTGTCTCTTGCCTCAATCTATGCTCAATGACTCTCTCCCAGAGCTTCATTGTATGACTCATTAGCTTAATACCCCTATAGTTCATGCAATTTTGTACGTCGCCCTTATTCTTGTAGATAGGCACCAAAGTGCTCGTTCGCCACTCATTTGGCATCTTCTTCGTTTTCAAAATCCTATTGAAAAGGTCAGTGAGCCATGTTATACCTGTCTCTCCCAAAAGTTTCCACACTTCGATTGGTATATATCGTCTGGGCCTATTGCTTTTTTTATGCTTCATCTTCTTCAAAGCTACAACCACTTCTTCCTTCCGGATTCGACGATAAAAAGAGTAGTTTCTACACTCTTCTGAGTTACTCAACTCCCCTAAAGAAGCACTCATTTCATGTCCTTCATTGAAAAGATTATGAAAATAACCTCTCCATCTGTCTTTAACCGCGTTCTCTGTAGCAAGAACCTTTCCATCCTCATCCTTGATGCACCTCACTTGGTTTAGGTCCCTTGTCTTCTTTTCCCTTGCTCTAGATAGTTTATAGATATCCAACTCTCCTTCTTTGGTATCTAGTCGTTTATACATATCGTCGTAAGCCGCTAACTTAGCTTCTCTGACAGCTTTCTTCGCCTCTTGCTTCGCTTTTCTATACCTTTCACCATTTTCATCGGTCCTCTCCTTGTATAAGGCTTTACAACATTCCTTCTTAGCCTTCACCTTTGTTTGTACCTCCTCATTCCACCACCAAGATTCCTTTTGATTCCTTTGTGGTGGGGCAAAGCCCTTGGACTCTCCTAATACCTCTTTTGCTACTTTTCGGATACAACTAGCCATGGAATCCCACATTTGGCTAGCTTCCCCCTCTCTATCCCACACACATTGGGGTGATTACCTTCTCTTTGAAAATGGCTTGTTTTTCTTCTTTTAGATTCCACCATCTAGTCCTTGGGCACTTCCAAGTCTTGTTCTTTTGTCTTACTCTTTTGATATGTACATCCATCACCAACAAGCGATGTTGATTAGCCACGCTCTCTCCTGGTATAACTTTGCAATCCTTACAAGTTATACGATCCCCTTTCCTCATTAGAAGAAAATCTATTTGTGTTTTTGACGACCCACTCTTGTAGGTGATCACATGTTTCTTCTCTCTTCTTAAAGAAGGTGTTGGCTAAGAAGAGATCATATGCCATTGCAAAATCCAAGATAGCTTCCCCATCCTCGTTTCTCTCCCCAAAACCATGGCCACCATGAAAACCTCCATAGTTGCCTGTCTCCCTGCCCACGTGTCCATTTAAATCTCCTCCTATAAATAACTTCTCCGTCTGAGCAATTCCTTGCACCAAGTCTCCAAGATCTTCCCAAAATTTCTCCTTCGAACTCGTATCCAACCCTACTTGAGGTGCGTACGCACTAATCACATTGATAAGTTCTTGTCCTATTACAATCTTGATTGCCATGATTCTATCTCCTACCCTCTTGACATCTACAACATCTTGTACCAAGGTCTTGTCCACGATGATGCCAACACCGTTTCTCGTTCTATTTGTGCCCGAATACCAAAGTTTAAACCCTGAGTTTTCTAGATCCTTTGCCTTACTACCAACCCACTTAGTTTCTTGTAGGCACATAATATTTATCCTTCTCCTCACCATAACTTCCACTACTTCCATAGATTTTCCCGTTAAGGTTCCTATATTCCACGTTCCTAAACGCATTTTGCTCTCTTGAACTCTACCCTTCTGTCCTAGCTTCTTCACCCTCCCCCGTCTAATAGGATCAAAGTACTTCTTTTGTGTGTCCCGGGTAAAGTTGATAGGAGCATATGCTCCCAAACAACTTTGAGTGGAGTCGTTCGAAAAGAAGTTTCTATGGCCCCCTTGCTCATTTAACACTGCATCCGGGTGCCGATGGAGATGCAGCGACCCTTGCTCACTTATCACTGTGCTCAGGCCACACAGCGCGCCACTTACGGGTGACGCCCTAGCTTTAGCGCGATTTTGTTCTGGGTTCATTTTCATAAGGATTCGACGTGATCATGGAGTGCCGGCTAAAATAAATAAAACTCTTCCATTAGATAATATGTGAACTCATCAGATCGTGCTAGTAAATAGGCAAAAGATCACATGCCTGGCCACGGTGCTTTGTAAGAGTAATGTCAAACGCTTCTTGAACATCCCTGCTTGAGTGTTCCTTCTTAGCCTCTTCAGTAACGGGCTGTCAAAATGTAAATAGATGAGAAGGATGGTTTTCATGAACAGTGATATCAAAGACTATTACAATTGAATTTCCCAAGAAAACAAAGAGTTATTGGATTAATTCCTCAGCAGGAAAAAATAAAAGCAACAGAGTTATTGTACAAGCATTTGAAAGTTACAGATGCCTAAGAACAGAACTTGTGAAAAACAATATATCACCTTACGTTCTCTGCTCTCTACAGTAAAAGGTCTAGTTTTGACATCAATAGACTCAACATCTTCTTGGTACAGCTCTGCTCCCCACCGCTCCGCTTGTTTCCGCATCCTACACATTCCAGTTGACATTGCAGCTTCCTTAATTAGTCCCACACAGACAATTGGACAATTGGGAATTCAAATCAAGTCAAACGCAGTCATACTTCACACTAGCTCGATTTACCTCTCCATTAAATCCGAACCCATAATCCCTTCTGGGAATCCCGGGAAGTTCTCAACTTCAGTAGTGGTCGTCAACTGTCGTCCCGGACCGGATTGGTACCCCTCGAACACTAGCAGCTTCAGATTCGCTCGAGCTGCGTATATTGCCGCCGTGAATCCACCCGGGCCTGACCCAATTATCACTACATTCTCGATTGCATTTTCTGTGCACGAAACCAATAAACTTCCATCTTTACTCAACCATCAATTTGTACACAACTACAACTAACAAATTGAAAAATCAACCACAAACAAACACAGCAAACTGAACTTCCACAGAGAGAGAGAGAGAGTGAGAGTTGAGGGGACCTGGGGAGGCAGGGGGGACTCAGAGGAAGCTTGGAGGGGGCTGCGTAGCTGGCTTGTCCAAGTCTTTGTTGACCTTGCCTTCTTTCATAGGTAGTTCTTTCAAGTGTAGCAGTCGTTGGTTGTGTGACCAGGACCTCGGTGGAATGTGCAATACATGGTGTGGTTCAACTTGGAAGTATCTCATTTTGATTGTTTTGGCAGCTTGAACCATGGCTCGTTCTTGATGTTGCAAAGGATTTGATGGATCGAAATTGAGAACTTAGAATAGTTCTTGGTCATCGGGCCTTCTTTGGTCGTGGGTCGGTCCCTACGCTTGGCCTCCTGCCTGCCTTTGCTGGACTACTTCCCGTCCTCCTTCCTTTAAGCCACTGCTGACTCTTTTCAAGGCTGCTTAGGCTCATTTTCTGCTTGTCGAGCCTCGTCCCAAAGTGAATGCTTCTCTGCCAGGGCAAAGGAATCTGTTAGAGTCAAGTCTTCTTTCATGATCATTTCTCCAAACAGTGGGTGGTTTGCTGGGAGTCCTTTTTGGAAGGCTATACTTGCTATTGAGTCGTCGCATTCGACGATCTTTGCCTTCTCTGCTTTGAACCTCTTTATGTAGTCTCGGAGCGACTCCTTTGGGTTTTTCTTCATGTTGAACAAGTGGTCGGACTTTTTCTTGATTAAGCGGTAAGATGAGTATTCTTTTGTGAAAACCAGGGAAAGATCATCAAAACTTCGGATGGATCGTGGCGGCAAGGTGTGAAACCAATATTACACCTCACCTTGTAAAGTGGTGGCGGATATTTTGGACATAAGGGCATCGTTGTTCCGATAAGGGACCATCGCGCTTCGGTAGTGCTTCAAATGCCTCTCTGGATCTCTATCTCATTTGAAAGATGTGAAGTGTGGCATGCTAAACTTGCATGGAGGCTCTGCCTACTCAATCTCGTCCGTGAAGGGTGACCTGCTCATGTTGGTCATATCTTGCCAAAGTGCTTCATCAGCCACTTCGTTGCGTTAGAAATCACGCAATCGTTCATTGAGGAGTCTCTCTACCTTTTCTTTGATTTGCCTTTGTTGGGGTAGCGGAGCTCTCGGCTGCCCCCGGTCTTGACCTGTTGGTCTAGTCTGCCCTTTTATATTCTCAGCTTGTCCATGCCGTGGCGGCAGTGCATGTGGTCTATTCCTAGTAGGCAAGGGAATTCTTTGTAGGCTACCGGTTAAACTTGAGCCAGATTCAGTGACTGCTTCTTTCCTTCCGTCGTGCTGCCTACTCCGATAAGATTTGGAAGTTGCTCCTTGTGGGCCTAGCCGCGAATGAACGCTTTGCTTAGAAGGTTGCTCATGTTGATCATCGGTGTGTGGTCCCAATCGTGAGTGTATACTTGCCCGTGGGCCTAGTCAAGAGTGCATGCTGCTCCATGCGTTAAGATGGGAGTATACGCTAGAGTGTATGCTGCCCGATTGCTCAGTTAATGACTGGTTGAGTGGCTGCTTGCCGTGATGCTGCTGGAGAGGTTCCTCGTCTGCCTTTGTCCTACTCCGAGACACCTCATTTGGGGCATGTTAGATCTCAGTGTTGCAAGAGCTGATTCACCAAGGTCGTATGTTGTGCAAGGGTGCTTGTCAACTATATGACTTGTCAGGACAAATGTTGTTTGCCATTCGAATTGGAAGAGCTTGGAAGAAATGTGCCTCCTTGAGCAATGGAAGGGTGGTAGACTTTGGGCGCAAGATTTGAGTTGGGAAATGTCAAATCCATGGAGAAATGTGGTGAAAATGCCCCCGGCTCGATGTTTGGTCCGGATGGTTGAGATATTCTCGGGGTGACTTGGGCTGCTTGGTAAACCATAGGAGCAGGCTAGGCCGTGAGAGTAGGCTAGGCCACAAGAGGGGGCTGCTCGGCGTGTGATGCAAGCTGGTGCAAGGCTTGGGTTCGGCATAGCAACGTTTTGGGCTCGCGTAGGGCGTGGAGTGACATGGCTTGGGCCGTGGCCTTGGTTCCATAAGCCTTGGGTGGCATGGCTTGGGCTTGCTTAGATGGCACAGCTCGGGCCATGGTGGTTCCTGTGGTGGAAACTCGTGGTGGTGGTGCCGCTCCACTTATTGTCACATTTAGTCTCGTAGATCGCCGTGGTCATATCTCTTGAATATTGGAATTTTCACTTGTTGAATTTTCTAAATTTCTAGCCATTGTAATTCTCTTTTACGTTTTATCAAAGAATTTTCGCAAATAAAAAATTCTAATAATAAAAACGTACGGAAAATCTACAAATGGACAAGAAAATAGAAAAACCTTGGATACGAGAGTCTTCAACGAGTATGAGACTCAACTCTCAATGAAAGCACCAATTTGTGGATGCAAATTTCTTCCTCCTTGTTCTTGGACAAAATTGCACCTACGAAACAAATAACACCTTTGGTCAAGGCCAAAAGCCTTATGCACCCACGATGAATTGGGGGGGGGGTGAGCTTTGGCTGAAAAACCTCCGATGCCAAAGTTAGAATTTTGAGGGAAAAGTGTTTGGAGAATTTTTTGAGTGTTTAACAAGAGTGAAAAACTTAGCTTCTTAGAGAAAATGAGGTAGAATATATAAGGCATGGCCGGCCCCCTTGGGAGAGAAGGTGACCGGCCTCTTGTGTGTTTTTTGGGTGTAATTGGTAGTTTAATTGGCCATTAATAGATTAATTAGGTAATAAATCTATTAATTAGCCAATTAACATAATTTAAAAGGAATGTTTTGGGGGTTACCTTGTGGAGAAGATATGATGAGGAATGATGAAATAGGTTGTAAATAAATACCTATTTGGGCACTTTTGACTTGTTTGAGGGATAATTGTCCACTGCTCGAGTGTAGGAATTCTGGTGTGCCTCGATGGTAGTTTTGTCCTTTTTATCCAAAAATCCAAGTGTCGCCTCTTGATTATTTTTGGCTCCACATTTTAGATTTTCCAAAATGCCATGTGAGGCGACATGGAGGCCTCATGATATTTTGATGAGTTGTTGATGTTGTAGGCTTGCTACAATTGGCCCTGGCAATAGAAGAGTTGTTGCTTAGTTAGAGACTTACACCACAAGTAAAATGACTTATAATGAAGAGCAATGAATGAGATACTGGTGTTAAATATATGCCATAAAAGCAATCAAATGTTGATAAACTGATTAAGGGCATATATTGATTAGTTGAAGTTTAATCGTGAAGCAAGATCGTTGTGTATATATTACAAATAGTGAGTTTGTGGATAACATTTAAATGCATATGTAAGAGGTAACTAAAGTTATAGAGACCCTCTTCATAAGTGATTATCCCACACACTAATTCTGGTTGTTGAATTATAAAGAGGATATTTCTAATCTACAAAGACCAGTACATTATGTTTGCCAATTGTATGATACGGGATACATGGCTAAGTCTCAAGCTATCAGCAGTGATCTGTTGAGACAACTAGAGATTAAGTTTACTGAACACGAGCAACTTAGGTACTTGTATAGAGTTAGTATACATGTCAAGCACGTGACTCTTAATTGCAAGAGTGTAAATTGATCCTCATACATAAGACATTATAGTAGTCGTGTGGATAGCAATTTAACTTTGTGACATACATTATATTATAACAGGTTATCGAGTGTATGCATCGGGTCATTAAACTATTCATGAGGACATGTAATGTACAACAAAGGATCTCTAGATTACTTTATAAAGGAATCAAAATACACTACAACATGATAAAAATAAATGGATACTTTGGATGCGGTCCTTAGTTATGAATGTTCTTTGATTAAAACCTTTTTGGTTTTTAATTTTTGATCGAGGTCCCTGAAATTAATGTGATAATTTATTTCTATTTACGTTACTATATTTTTTAAATTAAAAATTAAAAATTTTAGTTGTTTATATAAATGAGATTTTAAATAAAAAAAACCATAATTTGTGGATTAAAATATAAATATACTATTGTTTGTGTGTATATATATAAACATGGGTACATTCATCAAAATTAACCAAAAAAATTATTGCATCAAAACATGGGTACATTCTTCAAAATCACAAAAAAAGAAAGATATTAGGCTTAATAACATTAGTAAATTTCTTCGATTAAACTTGACATGGATACAATTTAAAACCAAAGAAAAAAGAATGTGCCCGTATAAGTTTAAAAATGGATTAGAAAAAAATTGAATAGATTTTATATAAAAAAAATGGTACATTTTACATATAACAAATTGATATATTTAAGAATGAGTACATTTTAAGATTAAAAAGTTTTACATTAATGGGTACATATAATTAGCATGGGTACATTTAGCAAAATAAAAAGTACAAATAAAAAAATATATGGGTACAAATACAAATAAACTTTAAAAAATATGGGTACAAAAGAAATTAATATATAGGTACAAATTAAAACTGAAAAGAAAATAGGTACAAATAAAAAAAAAATTACAAATTAAAAATGGGTACAAACTAAAACTAAAAACATATGATAAAAAATTTAGTCATAAATATAAATATACTAATTGTAACATTTTTAACATTAAATGAATATATTTAGAAATAAAAAAATATTTTATTATTGAAATAATTAATGATGTTATTAATGCCCAAGGACCTTGATAAAAAATTGAAAAAAAAATAGGATTTTAATTAATGGAGTAGTAAAAGGAATGATGAGAACCTAATTTTTCCTAAAAAATATCCTCAACCGGGGTACTGAGCATGATCGAGTATAACTTTCAATCGCTTTAACAGATTCATGGAAACAAGTAAGATCACATTAGGGTTTGACATTATTAACCATGCTCTAGTAATGCGATTGAGAATATTGTGTTGCAAGATGATTGCAGTTGTATAGGTTTTCCAAATACGTTCGATATCAATTTTGGGACTATGGCATATGGTTAGGTGTCATTCATACTTTGTGAGATCCCTCACGGTATTTATCGTCAATAAGAGGGTGAATCAAAAGTATTTTTAGTTCATTAAACAATTAGAGAAGTCAAAATTATCCATGACCTCGTTAATTGGTACCTAACGGATCACACACCCTATTTTTGTTTGTGCTGAATACAAAAGTGTCGGAATGATAATTAGATTAATCAAAGGGGGAAATAATTAATTAAATAGTTTAATTAATTATAACCGAGTTTTAAGGTCCAAATTGGGCCTTGAATTAGTTTTTGGTTCAACTGGACCCATTGGGTTCAAGCCCACTTGGTGTAGATTACATCACTTAATGACCTACGCGGAAAGGCAGCACAAAAGGCTCAACCCTATAGCCGGTTTTTCCTTCGGTTAATGGAGTAGATTTTTTATTTTATCATCCAATATAAAATTAGGAAGCTGTTATTAGCACTTCCAAAATTTCAATTTGTATTCCTTTTACATATTTTATTTATCTAT